CCGTTAGTTTAGCAATGGAAATCCCCCCAAAAAGACTCTTGACCATAGACTATATAGATCTTGACAGACAAGAGCACTTTTGAGCATGTGCAGATAATAATAATATAATAATAATAATAATAATAATAATAATAATAATAATCTTTATTTGTAGCACACAAAAAAAAGTTACAAAGTGCTTTAACAAGTGTAAAGACAATAATACCCGGCGGGCGGCTGTGGCTCAGGAGTTAGAGCGGGTTGGCTGTTAAATCGGAAGGTTGGCGGTTCAATCCCTGGCTCCCCCTGGTTGCATGTCGAAGTGTCCCTGGGCAAGATACTGAACCCCGAATTGGCGGCTATTCCGCCAGTGTGTGAGTGTGAATGTTAGTTTCCGTTTGAGCACTTAGGCTCAGTGTATGAATGTGTATGACTGGTGAATGCAGATGTAGTGTAAAAGCGCTTTGAGTGGTCGAAAAGACTAGAAAGGCGCTATACAAGTACGGAGCATTTACATTACATTTACAATAATACCCAAGAGACAATAATACAAAAACAATACAAGATAAAAGCATGAAAACATTGAAAAGACTAAAATACACGTTTAAGATAAAAATAACATTAGTAAAATAGAATAAAATAAAAGGGATAAAATAAAGTCAAATAAGATCGGGAAAGGCTCTCCTATCTCTTTTAAGAAGGGACTTAAAAGAGTTCACTGACTCAGATGACCTAATTTCCTCGGGAAAAGCCTGGCAGCTGAGTTCTGGACAGTCTGGAGTCGATCAATAGATTTTTGGGTTAAACAAGTGAAAAGGCTGTTGCAATAAATCAGGCATGATGAGATGAAGGCGTGTAAAATGGTCTCGGTGTCCTTAAAAGTTCACATAGATCAAATTTTAGCTATATTTCTAAGTTGATAAAAACATGTTTGAACAAGCTTTGTGGTGTGCTGCTTGAAATTTAAATTACTATCAAACCAAACACCAAGGTTCTTTGCAACAGGCTTAATGTGATTTACTAGGGAACCAGCAGATGAATCTGCTGGGGCCCAATGACCAGGATTTCTGTTTTGTCGGAGTACAGCTTGAGGAAATTATTTGACATGCATTTTTTAACTTCACAAAGGCAGTTGTTAAGTGAACTCAGCATTCCAGGGTCTGTGGATCTGACGGGCAAGTATATTTGTGTGTCATCAGCATAAATATGAAAAGAAATGCCATGTTTATGGATAATATGTCCAAGGGGAAGCAGATACAAGGAAAACAAAATGGGTCCTAAGACGGACCCCTGAGGCACACCATATTTAACTGGACAGAACGAAGAGACATGAGACACGCAAAACTTCCTATTTGACAAGTAAGGGATAGGGATCTGACAGGCAGTACGGATTTGTTACCCACACCTACAGACTCTTCTACTTCAGACCGCAGTGTGGAGAGAATTTCCTGACATGCTCTTACGCCACGGTTACTGAGGTGTTTATTTAACATCTTATGATGATTGATAAACGATTTTTTTAAAATAGCGAGAGAAGAGCAAACTGTTCATACAGAATGTATGACCACATACACTCACAAGTTTATCATGTTCAGCAGTTATTAAACATCCGCTGTCAGGGTCTTCAGGTCTGTTTCAGTTTGGTGCATTTTGTAAACCCAAGATTAAAAATTTTATTTGAATATTTATACTTTGTGACACTTTGTCTAGCAGAAATTGTTGTGCACCTAATACCGTCACATTCAGTAATGTGTGTAAAATCTGTGTTTTACTTGAGGACTTGTAGATCTTTACAAAAATTTTATTGTACATTACAGATAATGTAGTGACAAAGTTTGAACATGGATTTAAACACAGTAACTAGCAGTAACTTCAGGACATATGCACAGCATTCATCATCAAATATAAACTTACTTAGTGATCCGTGTAGCATGTCTACTTATGATTTTAATAAACTTAATTTCTTAATTTTAATTAATACAAATGATGAAATTTTATATTCAGAGAATATTAATTCATAAATCTCTCGTTTCGCGGGGCACCACCCATGATTCCGTTCGCCCTGGGTCTCGGGATACCCTGGGTATGGTTAATAATTATACAATTATTCACTAGTGATCAGTTAATAATAATAAGTTAATTATTGCTCAGTTATCTTAAATCAAACAGTCAGTCTCATATCGAAGGGGTAAATTCTCGTGACAGGGACTTGGAGTTAAGCAATATACACACACAGTTCCTGTGATTACGGTGAAATTTAAGGTCTTTTGTCTTACTGAAACCTGGCTGGGTGATGGAGAATATGTTAGCCTAAATGAATCCACCCCTCCCAGTCATATTAATACTCACATTCCTCGAGGCACAGGCCGAGGAGGTGGAGTTGCAGCTATCTCTAGCCTACTAATAAGCTCTAAACCTAAACTAAATTATAACTCATTTGAAAGCCTTGTTCTTGGTCTTTCGCACCCAAGTTGGAAATCACTGCAACCAATTCTCTTCGTTATAGTGTACTGAGCACCTGGCCCGTACTCTGAATTCTTATCTGAATTTACAGAGTTTTTGGCAACTTTAGTCCTTAAAACGGACAGTTATTATTGTAGGGGATTTTAATATTCACGTGGACGTTGAGAATGACAGCTTCAGTACTGCGTTTATCTCTCTGTTAGATTCCATTGGCTTTTCTCAGAGTGTTCATGAACCGACTCACTGTTTTAACCACACCCTCGACCTTGTTTTGGTGTATGGTATTGAAATCGAACATTTAGTGGTGTTCCCACAGAATCCCTCTTTGTCTGACCACTGTTTGATAACTTTTGAGTTTGTATTGCTGAACTACTCGCCATTGGGCAAAACTTTCTATACAAGATGTCTGTCTGATAGTGCTGTAGCTAAATTTAAGGATGCGATTCCCTCAGCTCTAAATTCATTATCAAGTCACGAAGTAACGGAGGACTCCTATGCTAATTTCAGTCCCTCCCAAATCGATCATCTTGTTGATAGTGCTGCAGGCTCGCTGCTAATGACACTCGACTCTGTAGCCCCTCTAAAAAGAAAATAATAAAACAAAGACTGTTAGCTCCATGGTATAATACTGAAACTCGCAAATTAAAGCAAATATCGCGGAAACTTGAGAGGAATTGGCGTTCCACCAAACTGGAAAATTCTCGTTTAATTTGGCAAGATAGTCTTAAAACTTATAGGGGGCCCTCCGTAATACCAGAGCAGCGTACTACTCGTCATTAATAGAGTGTACTCACTCTGTAGCCAGGCTGACAGAGAGTCACAGCTCTATTGAGCCAGGTATTCCCATAGCCCTCAGTAGTTACGACTTCGAGCTTTTTTAATGATAAAATTATAACTGTTAGAAACAAAATTCACCAAGACCTGCCCTCAACTGGCACCAACTTATCTCTAAACTCAGGAACCTTAGAAGCAGCTGTAAAACCAGATATATGTTTAGACTGCTTTGCTTCCCTCAATCTTTACCAACTAACTTCAAATATTTCTTCATCTAAACCATCAACCTGCCTCTTAGACCCCATCCCGACTAGTCTGCTTATCGAAGTTTTACCCTTAGTCATCACTATACTAGATATGATTAATCTATCTTTATCAACAGGCTATGTACCGCAGTACTTTAAAGTAGCTGTAATTAAACCTCTTCTGAAAAAGCCCAAACTTGATCCGGATGTTTTAGCCAACTGTAGACCTGTATCTAACCTTCCATTTCTCAGCAGTTGCTAAACAGCTGTGACTTTCTACAGAGCAATAGTTTATTTGAGGATTTTCAGTCAGGATTTAGAGTTCATCATAGCACAGAGACAGCACTGGTGAAAAAAACTAACGACCTCCTTATTGCATCAGACAAAGGACTTGTCTCTGTACTGGTTTTATTAGATCTTAGTACTACATTTGATACCATTGACCATCAGATCCTATTGCAGAGACTGGAACATTTCATTGGCATTAAAGGAACCGCTCTAAGCTGGTTTAAGTCTTATTTATCAGATTGATTTCAGTTTGTACATGTTAACGATGAGTCCTCCATGCACGCCAAAGTTAGTCATGGAGTTCCACAAGGATCTGTCCTCGGACCAATCCTGTTTACTTTATATATGCTTCCTTTAGGCAATATTATCAGGAAATATTCCATAAGCTTTCATTGTTATGCAGATGATACTCAGTTATATCTATCGATCAAACCAGATGAAACTCATTAGTTAGCTAAACTTCAAATGTGCCTTCAGGATGTTAAAACCTGGATGACCTGTAATTTTCTAATGTTAAACTGAAGTTATTGTTCTGGGGCCTAAGCACCTCCATGACGCATTATCTAAAGATATAGTTTCCCTTGATGGCATCGCCCTGGCCTCCAGCACCACTGTGAGGAATCTTGGAGTTATCTTTGATCAGGACATGCCATTTAAGTCTCACATTAAGCAAATTTCACTGCCTTTTTTCACCTACATAATATTGCGAAAATCAGGAACATCCTGTCTAAAAATGATGCAGAAAAACTAGTCCATGCATTTGTTACTTCTAGGCTGGATTACTGCCATTCCTTATTATCAGGCTGCTCGAAAAAGTCTTAGCTTCTTTGCATTGGCTTCCAGTAAAATCCAGAATAGAATTTAAAATCATTCTTCTTACTTACAAAGCTCTTAATGGTCAGGCACCATCTTATCTTAAAGAGCTCATAGTACCTTACTACCCCACCAGAGCACTGCACTCCCAGAATGCAGGGTTACTTGTGGTTCCTAGAGTCTCCAAAAGTAGACTAGGAGCCAGAGCGTTCAGCTATCAAGCTCCTCTCCTGTGGAACCATTTTCCAGTTTGGGTTAAGGAGGCAGACACCATCTCCACATTTAAGAGTAGGCTTAAGACTTTCCTCTTTGATAAAGCTTATAGTTAAGGCTGGCTCAGGTTAGTCCTGAACCATCCCTTAGTTATGCTGCTATAGGCCTAGACTGCTGGGGGATTTCCTATGATGCACTGAGCTCAAATGGATTGGAGAGACCAAGTTAAGTAATTTAAAGATTATTTAATTAAACAAGGTAATGCTTTGAGTTTTGAGGAGACAGTACTCTTTGTTTACACAAAGAGTTCAGGGCTGTCCTCTGGTGTTCTAGAGTTTCTCACATCAGGGCGTGAAGAGGAGAATATCCTTTGATGTGGGGTAATTAAACAAAGAGGGAGGTCAGTTGCCATGGTTACGTGTGCGGGGGGCAGTTTAGGGTTTCTTGCCCTCTCTTAAAAAGAGTTCTGATAGGCTGTTCAGGAGAAAGAAAATGTCTGATTAGTGTTTCTTTGTCATTTTAACAGTCAGGCACAGAGCCTTGTCTCGGCTGCTGCCAAAAGGTGACCAGTTTTATGATCGAACTGCCCAGAAACAGCCCTTAGGGAAAGCAAACCTTTCACCTCCTCCTTTGGTTGCTTCAGCTGTCTGTTGAGGGTTGATATCTCAAACCCCCTCCTTTTCTTTCTCTCAGGGAGAGAGAAAGACTTTGGGATCTCCAAATTTATTTGATATAAAATGCACAAATCCACACTGGCTCCATAACAACATCCGACTGGATTTCCATTTAACGCCTTGTTAAAACACAGGCTTCCAGGAATTCATGTTCCCCAAAAATTTTGGCATGTGGACTACCTCTCCTCCTACCACACGCTGCTTTGGTGCTTCACCTGTACCCACCTGGAGCTGTACCTGCACACTATCCAGCTTCCCTGCTTTTATCAGTCACCATTTGTCCATCATGTTGCAGTTCAGATTGAATCTTTCTTCTGTTCCAGCTCTTTGTTCTGGTTTATGACAGATGAAGTCCAGTTTCAGTCTGTCTGTGTTCAGATCCAGCCGTAAGCTCTGTGACCACCACAGAAGAAGAAAGAAGCCTACATGTACAGTCACATGAAGATGATTGACTGGAAGTCTGCAGCTTGCTCCACGTTGTTATTCCAGGCTGACTTCAGTCTCTCTACAGTAACATATGTTTGAGATAATGATCCAGACTGTAGACCAGCACTTCTGTAGAGTGTTCAGCTTGTAGCGCCGTGTGCAGGACATTCACCTGGTATTTCTTCTCCATTCACGTTTCTGTTCTGTGAAAATTTGATAAATGAGTGATGTTATTTAATTACTTAGAAGAAAAATCATTCCTACTTCCTACTGTACATAACAGTAAAATGGACTCAGACTGGTTTCTTTTATACAAACACTGCTGGATGCGCATGCAGCCAGGGGGTCAAAGCGCTTTGGTAGCCGGTCAGAAGACTGTAGTAAACAACTGTAATCAACGTAGATTAGGCATTGTTTGTAAATTCTTGTTGACTCAATAATAAACTCTGTTTGTTAGCGTTTCATTTCGCATGTTAATATATCATGTGCAACCGCTCTGCAGGTCAGCGGAACCAGAACTTATGTTGTTCAAGTCAGCTGCTAGCCAAAAAACTAAAGGAAGAATGGAGAAAGAAGGAGAGAGGCGTTCTTTCCACAGCTGTAAGTAACGTTCTGCCATTAGGCCGAGCTGTGTCACACTCAGAGATGCAAAGAACATGGTCTTCTGTTGTAAACTCTGTGCGACCAGCAAAACGCTTTCAACTGTGAACAATTTTGTATTGAAGCATCTGCTAAAGCAGCACAGCAACGTGAAACTTGAGCCTGTGGAAATAAACTCCGGCAGCTAACGTTTCTGCCAGTGAAGTATCCACTCAGCAGGAGAGAGTGGCGTTAATCAACGTTTTGTGTTTTGTAAAAGCACTGAATGCTTCTCTTATAAATGCATTTGCAAAATGTTAGTTCAAAATTTGAGACACTTGCTTGATTTTTCTGATCTCTGACAGTGGCATTAAAAAAAAAAATCATACTCATGGCTGCTGTTATGAACACGCGATTAGTTAAAATCTGGAGGGACCTGCTTTGTTTTTTTAAAATTATTTTTAAATAGCCTATATCCATAGCTTATATGATAGAGCATCCTCTGGTCTGAGAGGCTGCAGTGTTTTCAGTTCGGCTGGTTGTTGACTTTAGGTTAACTATTGTTCCAGTAAAGTGGATTTATTTCTAAAATGCACTGCTGAACAGGCTTCCCGTCACTTTTAAAGATGGGGTGCGATGGTTGAAAGTAATTGTAATGTAACGAGTAATGTGACTATTTACCATTAATACCCAGTAATATGTAAAGTACTAGGGGAGAGCTGGGACAAGCCCACAAAAGTCTGAAATGCCAAACTACCTCGGCACGTACATTGGTTTTTAAATGAGTATAAAGTAACTCATTACAATTTCTGAGTAATTTGTCCAACACTGCTGCTAGATATGCTTTTCTGCCCCATAGTTGCGCACACATCTCTGTGATGACGTTGCACAGAAACCCGTCTATAGTAAAGAGTATAGAACATACCTGTTGGGGATTGTTTGCATCTGATTTCTTCTTGTAATAAAACGTTCCAGTTGTGGAATGTCTTCTGTAATAAAACATTACAAATAAACACCTTAATCAACAACTTAATGATGTGACAGTGTTTTTATTATCTAAATACAAATCATACCTCTGTTTAGACGTCCTTTCTTCTTTTTGACATAGAAAAAAGCAACAAGCCCAATATTAAAATTAATAAACAAAGAATCCCCCCAACAGCAGCACCGATCACAACTCCTGTCCTGTCTGAACTTTGTTCTCCACATTCAGCATCGGTTGAAGCAGTTCCTGCTTTCAGGTTTATTGATTCACATCTGGAATGATAGAGGGACATTTTCACAGGAACATTTGTAGGAAACCATGAATTCACTGCTGCTGGAAGACTTCAGATGTCTGATGTGAAGCTTCTCTTACTGTGTGTGCGGCTGACAGGACGTAAATGTCCCATCTGAAAATGTTCCAACGCTGCAGTCAGAGCACTTTGTGTCTGTGAATGCTGTTCCTGAACAAACACAGATTAGAGATATTGAAACCAGTTCAGTTTTCATATATATATTCATATATATATTCATATAGAGCGATCAGTTTCTTAATGACATCCTTACATTTCATCAGACTGATCTGATGAAATGTAAGGACGGTTTAATTTCAGCGGATTTAAAAAACACGACCCAAAACATAATCTTCCATTTTTTTTATGTTTTAGGAAAAACATTTTTTTTTTGAGGTTTTGACGAGATGTTCATTTTTCTCATAACTACAGAGTGAGATGGGATTTGAATCACTGTAAAGGACAGCAGACTCATAAACAAACCACAGTTTGAGAGAACACTGGAAGTATTCAAACATCTTGAGGTTCAGTGTCATAATGTAATTTAAAATAATATAAAACTACTAGGGCGTTGCGGTAGTACAGTGCTTAGCTTTGTCGCCTCACAGAAAGAAGGTTTTGGGTTCGAACCCTGGTTGCCCTGGCTTTTCTGTGTGGAATCGCACCTTTCGCCCGATGTCAGCTGGGATTGGCTCCAGCCCCCCACGACCCTGTACGCAGGATAAGCGGTTAACAATGGATGGAAGGATGGATGGATAAAACTACTAATATGTTGATGTCAGTTGACAACTGTCAAGAAATGATATAAATTCCACTTTTAAACTTTTCTCTTCTGGCCAGTGTAACATCCACTTCTCTGGGTAACAGTTGTAATCACATGAAAACAAGTTTTTTCCCCAAACAAATGATCCTGACAGAGAATTCTTCTGCTTTGTTAACTCTTAAACTAATGTTGTCCATGTAAATTTTAGAATTCACATTTTCCTAGTTAATCTTTAAGTAATTGATTGATCATCCGAAAGTTCCCTTAACGGCTTCAGGCTGACTGAATCACTCAACTGGTCTGAACAGTTTCTGCAGATTTATGGTGGAGCTTCTGTTCTGCTATCTTGTGGTCAGAAATAACCACTTGCAGCTTTAATGAGGAAGTTGTCATTAAGTTCCGTTTCTCAAAACCTTGGTACATTTAAAACTTAAACTACAGTTAGAAGCTTAAAGTCAGCACGAGGAAACCAACCTTTCTGGCTGATGTATTGTCCTGGTTGACAGCTTGTGTGTCTCTGCGCTGTCATACAGCTGTCCTCTGTAGAGTCCAGACAGTAGAATCCCTCCAGTGGTTCACAAACTGCATCTGATGTTGTTGTACATGACGTCTTTATCTTCAAACCAGAACCTGTCAGCACATACAGAGGTTACATATGGAGATACTACACTTTTAATCTACTAGAGCAACATGCACAGAGGAAAATACAGCTGAAATTAACAGCCTAATACATCGACTGCAAAATAAATGATGTTGAATGTCTTGTAGCTTACTCTTAAATGATCCTTTTGCGACACACAACATTTCTTCACTTAGTATTTCAGAGTATTTCATAACACACAAGGTCTTTGTTTCTGCATGCAGTTCATCACTTTCAGAGCAAAATCAGTAATGTGTAGTAAACTCATCAAAATGAGTCTCTGCTTCTATGCAATGACATTGTCAAACCAATCTTCAACAGTTTCCTTAGCTGTTCCACAGCTTTAACAGTGGAACTTGCAGTAATACGCAAGTTACTGCCTTTGAACTCCAGGCTCTAAGTTTCATTGTGTTATGGCAGAAAATTGTGTCCTTACATTTAATCTTTTATGTATGACTTTTAATATTATTATTATTACTATTGTCGTTATGTCTTATAGATATATATGTATTGTGTCTATCCTTAACCTTTCCTTCTTCTATACTCCTTATGTTAGTCCGTCCACATTTACTAGGTTTAGGTCAGAGCTGTGAGATTATTTTTGTCTTTTCCCTCTCTTGTTGTTCCTTTCCTCTCCTGGGAGAGGCTGGGCGAGGATCTCTGTTCCCCAAAACGTAGAAACCTAGACTGTGTAAATTATGCAAACCTTGCGCGGGGCCAGACGCCCGAAGCGGTCTTAGGCAGGTCTCTGGACCAGCTGTATATGTGTTTTAGTATGTTTCTGTTTATTCTTTTTTATTAATAAATTCTTCAAAGGCAATGGTTGATTGTTACTCAATTATTTGCTCAATCCCTCACCAGCAAGATCAATTTCCACAACACAATGATTTGGAATTATTCCCAGAAGCCTACCTGCAACACAGGTTGAACAGGGGTAACATTGTTTACGTCCAGTCGGCTGATTCATGAAGGTTCCCTCAGTGCAGGGCAGACAGGAAGTAATTGTGAACTCTGTACAATCTGTTTTAACTCGACTTCCTGTTGAAAACAAAAGAACAATTCAATTTCATGTAATATAATGTTTCTATTAAATGAAAAAGTTAAATCTTGGAGGGTAAAGCTCATGTTGTGAGCTTTGCAAAGTGAACTGCTGTCTGCTACAGAGTCACACTGAAGGACTCGCAGATACATGAAACCTGTGAACATAAACAGCACCAACTGTGGGCCCTGATGGAGTGATTGATTCTGGTAATTATTGTTGGTATCTGGCAGTAAAAGAAAAAGACTCCATATTTTAAGTGAAATATCCCTTTAACATTCAGTTGGATCTTACCAGCAGGACAAACATGGCAGCATTCCTCCCCTATCTCATACTCTCCTCGATGACACGGGAGGCTGTGTCTCTGAACTGTGACTCTGAAGACATTCATCACAAGTATCTGTGAAGAGAAAGAAAAAGGGTTTTGTCTCAGTGAAGCCTGGTTGAAATGAAGACAAACTGCAAATCAAATATATTAACATTAGGAGGTCCCATCATTTAACCTTTGCAGGTGAGTGTCACGGCTGTCGCTGTCACTTTTGTGTTTCCCCTTTTCTGTCTCACCTCTACCAAGTAGGCTGTGTCCCTGTGGAAAGAAGACCCGCCTACTTCCTGGTTTCTGGGGTGCTGACTTCAGTCCCACCCATTGGTTCCCTCTGTTCCCGCTCAACCAATGGCTAGTCACCACATTGATTACCTCCTCCTCATAAGGAGAGTCCACCTGTTGCTCGAGGCAGCTTGTCACCGCCTGTTGACTTGTGTACTTTGCTTGTTAGCTGTACATTGTGTGTAGTGGAGAAATTCACTTAGTATTTTTGTTTAATATTGAGTTAGTTTTCCTCAGGTGTAGTGGGTCCTGTGCTCTTTGTGTTCTTTGTAGCAAGAATTAACCCTGTTTAAATATAGATAGGTACAGGCCTCCTTTTGAGGACCTCTTTATTTTAACTTGGTTTGTTGTTTTCGCAGCACCCTCATCCACCCTCCTTTTGTTTATTGTTACCTGTCTGCATCAAAAGTTGCCTTTTTAAGATCTATACCAGTTTTGCCTATATGTTTATGGCCCCCACTCCCCTAGACACCAGCAGGAAGTCACGTGAGAGTTAATGAGGTCATATTTGTGTCATCAGAGTCATAAGAGTGAAGTCATCGTGTGGACCGGCACGTAAAAGGAGAGTTTAAATATTACATTCTTATCATCATTAAGGTGAAGGAACACCAGTGTTTCCCATATGTACTGTAGAATGTATTTTCTCTTTTCACTCAGTGTATTTATTTTGTATTTCTTCATTTCAAAACTGCTTTGAAATGTTTTCTTTTGTGCACAACCCCCCACCTTCATCCTATCACTGGAAAGGAACTTTCCACTGACTTTCCACTTTCCCACTAGTACTATTAAACAGCTCCATCTTCACCTTCACCACATCATCTTTCTTCTGTTACAGAGGTTAACGGCAGAGCAGATGCTCATCACTCAGGAGAGCTGATGAACAGAAAACCAAAATCTTTTTTCTTTTCTTGACACTGAAATGTTTGTCGATGTTAGAGACATTATCATAAAGGAAAACATTTAAACAAAGAAGGAGTAAAGTGATGCATGAACTGCTGCCATGAAAGCTTGCTGTAGTACCAGTCCGCTAGTCCACCACGTGGCACTGTGAGGTTGTTTCCAGTTCAGTTAGGCACATTGCAGAAGTAATGCAGAAATGTTGTAACTAGGCTGTCGGGTTCTTATGCAAGTTGATAAAAATGATTTTACCATCAATGCTGCAGGTGCCAGAGGTTTTCTTCTAAACATCATTTTGTACAGCAGAATCACAGCTTTCATGGGCTGAAGACGTCCTCTCACTGAGATTTGGGATGAAGTGAGAGTAAAATCAGGGGACAGGGACATCACCTGAAAGAAAAAGAAACATATCCATGTAGAGATTACACTAACTGCTAAGCAAACTGTTTATCAGAATCAGAAAAAAGAATCAGAAATCCTTTATTGATCCCCGAGGGGATGTTGCTGTGTCACAGTTGCTTAAGTTGATAATGTAGACATTAAAGAAATAAAAATATAACCTAATTTGCTAAAGTCAATAGACCAGCAAAAACTTCCTGTTCTTTCAGCTGAAACCTGGGTTGAGTTCAGCTCCGACAAAACATAACAAAACGCTTTTTTCAACAGAAACGGTGGTGAATTGAACGCACTGTTGTGCACGCAAGTGCAGTGCACTTTACTGCCTTTTCAACAGAGCTGTGTTTACATACTTGTCGCACCTGATTGGGTCACACCTCTGACACGACAACTAAACATTCCTTGAAGCCCGTTGTGCAACGTTACAAATTTCCTTGCAATAAAACTTGTCAATCAATCCAAAAATGTTGCAAACTGGTGCAAAACATTTTGAGGATGAACTCGCCTCTGTTCTTTAAACCAGGTCTATCTCAGAAACTCCACCGTCAGGCTAAGCCAATCAGAGGCAGAGAAAGGGCCGGTCACGCCTTCTTCATAGTAGAATTTGCAAATTCGCAAAGTTTGGTACAGATTTGAGCATGTACTGTACAGTGAAGTTACAACTTCCTGTTTCATGGCGAATCATTGATTTCAAACGCCACGCCATGGACACACATAGTAGCCTAATGATTCATTCAAACAACAATTAACTGATTAATTTTGTTCTTATAACATTTTAGAGATTTTAATATACATTTTTGGTTTTGATTTTCACTGATTGGGGTTTACAGTAGCTAGTAGCGCTGAATGTGCGTTACACCCCATCATGCAGACTCTGTGCAGGTGGGTTCAGCTCTCACTGAGTGAACACTACGGCTGGGACCCAAGACGGCCTCCGAGACCTGCAGAGACCAGTTGAAAGACAGGGAATACATGATCGGGGTTGGTTTTCCTGCTGGGTTCGGCTCTTGGCCCCCCGGGCCTGAATCAGCTAGGACAGCCAGCTGCCCGGCTAACCGAGCTAACTAGCTACAGATGCAGACAGAAACAGTCAGTAACGTCAGCCGTTTGTGGTTTATCAAACTGTAATGTCAAAATCCAATGGAAATCTATCTGTTCCTGAAGAAACTCACACTGGTACTATATTCCCTGTTGGTCTCTGTGTTCGGTCCCGTTCATGCCATTTTTACTAGGAGGCTGCTGAGCTCGGTTTCGTTGACTGCTCGCTCAGCTCTGATTCTGGTGCCCAATCCCGGCACCGCTCGCTGATGTTATCCTGGCCTGAAAACCTCCAGTGCCTGAGTAGAGGTGTAACGTTAAATACAATACAGTCCTCAGGTGCTCCGTGCTCCCAGTCTGGGCTGAGTCAGCTATGACCACTACGCTAACTGAGCTAATTAGTTAACAGCAGCTAGTTAGCTGCAGTGGTTACTTTAGCAACAAGAAAGACTTTCTGTTCATCAGCAAACTCCATAAATCACAGAGAGTTGAGGCAGAGCAGCCGCGGGACACGGGGAACTTTAATGTTAATTTTGTGACACCCAACAGTGTTGCCTTTGTAGACAGCGGAGGACGCAGAAAGCGAGGCAGCTGACAGAGCAGCTACTATAGAACTAAAACTGACAGATTGTGCAATGTAGCACGATACTAATGATCAAACTGAAAAGGCAGATCGTGGAGACATTTTAATCGTCCACGATCTAATATCGCCCACGCCTAGTTTGAGCTTAAATGATGGTTTGCTGTTGTGTATGGGTGTGAATTTTGGGCAGTTTTACTCTAGAAGACTTGGTGATTCATGACTACAAAAGTTGTTTTGTGGTATGGGGCTCCCATGAACTAGTGTAATAACATGTCATGAATTTGATTTCTCATCATCTACAGACTGCAGAAAGTTAAACAAGCATTGTAAGATTTTAGTTCTGCGCTGTACTGGTTTACTTTACAACATGGAATTGTATAATTCACATCTTTAATAAGCTTACTTACTGTCTTTAACTAGGCTTTAAGTTTCTACTAATGATGAGAAAATATTAATAGAAATCTACCTGCAACACAGTTCGTACAGGCAAAACATTGTTTATGTCCAGTAGGCTGATTCATGAAAGTTCCCTCAGTGCAGGGCAGGAAGTAGTCGTGAACTCTGTACAATCCATTTCATCTCGACTTCCTGTTGAAAAGAAAACAACAATTTAATTTCATGCAATATGTTTATATTAAATAAATCCTGGTGGCTAAAGTGCCTGTTGGTAGTTCTCAGCTGGGAGAGCTTGTTCTGCAGCAGGGCCGGGATGACACCGGAGACAGCTGATCAGCACAGTGATTCAGGGTGGATGGGGAGACAGAGTCCGGCCCAGCGGCTTTGCGAGGTTTCTGCCTCATGAACAGTCTGTTGACATCCCTCTCTGAGATGGAGAGAGGGGTTAGGTAGAGCTACCCGCCTTTAAGGATGGTTCACAGTTGTCTTCACAGAAGCTGATGTAGGACATCACACCCTCTGTATACTCATCCAGACTATTGGTAGCAGTCCTGAAACATCCCAGTCAGAACAGTCCAAAGACACCTGAAGGTCCTCTACAGCTTCACTGGTCCACTGCTTAGAAGTCCTCACCACAGGTTTACGGAGCTTTAATTTCTGCCTGTATGAAGGAATTAAGTGGACCATAACGTGGTCACCAAGAACAATAACTAAGTGTGTCCGGGAATGTCCGCTCTACCAACAGAGAGCTCTGTGTCGCGGTCCGCTCTATAGAGTTGGAATCCAGCCAGCTTAAGTGCGTAGTCCGGTATCGATCCACAAAGCCACATCTCTGTGAAGCACAGAACAGAAGTCTCTGTTTTCCCCACCAGTAGCCGAAAGTTTGTCCAGTTTATTGCACAGCGAGCGCACATCAGAGAGAAATATTCCCGGTAGCAGCGTCCTCTTCGTTGCAGTCGCACCAGCTTACTGTAGCTCCTCCTTTGGCGTTTTACCAAATAAACAACGGAGAGTGAAGCCTTGACCAGAATGTCCAATTCATAGTTTTCACATGACGTCACATTCCAAGGAAAACGCTCCCTTGGAGGGCAAAAATGAAGTTATTTTCCGCTGCCTGCCGACCAGTAAGCAACAACAAGCTGTTACTTTGAGTTGCTGGAAATGCTAGATGGTTGTTGTGCTTTCGGATTCACTAATCGAGGAGGAGAGACTGGGGTGTGTTAGGTGAGGTATTCCCCACAAGGTAAACGGTAAACTGATGGTTTTTAACGGTAGAAATGCGGCGGCGGATGCTGTAATGTTATATGGATCAGATATGCCCAACACTTGCAGTTTGTGTTTCTTTTTCTCAAGTTGAAAGGTGATCCAAATAAAATTTGACTGCTTTTGTGGGAGTCACTGTGTGAGCCGCTGTGTTGGTCTGTTGTTTTGCCCTCCAGCTGCCCGCGCATGTCACGTGACTGAAAACTATCAATAATTCAACTGATGACACGTGAAAAGTCCGAATTAAATCCGCTGGTGTTGTTCCCCTGATGTTTAAGAGCTCTTCTCTGGTGAAAGAGCTCCGGGTATCACAACAGAATGCAAAGTTAACAAACGTAAACAAAACAGAGTGAACCAAAATACTATACGACTGCCCTGGCAGCGCCATCTTGCACCAAATCAACAAAGTAGCCTACACGGAGATAAACTAGGACATGGAGATAGGCTGGACATTTTCTCACAAGTTGGGATTGGTATCATTAGAATTTTATTGATACACTCTTATTACCCTCTTTACTAAACAAATGCCTTTTAAAAATATATTCTTAAAAATAATTTATTATAATTAAATGTTTCTAGAGCTCAACAGGATTTACAACAGCAAAGTCACTAATATCTCAGTGGAAACAAATCTAAAATGTCATTAAAATAAATCATTTCCTGACATCAACATACTTAGCGAAGTAAAGAAAGAATGATGAACTCAGTCCCCATCAGTCCTTTCCCATGTCCTCCTCCTGCTGAGTTTAGGCACCTTATATGTGCCATATTCTCATGTACGTGGTAAAATAAGCTAAACAGTTATAAAAACAGACATCTTTCACTCTAGCTTGTTTGTAACAATTAGCTTAAGCTGAGCTAGCGCTGTGCTTGTGTAAAACCAGAGCAGATTAAAATATCGAGTTTTACATGTTTATGCTAAACAGGTGTATTGATAAAGTATTGTCTCTTTACTCTCAAAGGTTTCATTGCACCATGTACTTAGACTAAAGACCGTAGCTGTCGTCAACTTCGGTAACATCAGCTGATCTGTTGGCTGACTTCGCTCCGTGTGTGTGTGCGTATGTGGAGTGGAGGAGCTCTGCAGGGGAGAGGGGAGAAGCTGCAGGTCGGGCAGCAGGGGCGATTTTAGAAAAATAATACAATTATTTATTATTATTTTCTTATTATTTTCCTCTAATGTTAGTAAGAGAAGGGACAACCAATTAGCCTGCAGTTTCATGTGGCTTTACTTACATTAAACGGGTTTAATATCCCTAAATGCTTACATTTTTCAGTTTCTAATGTTTTACTGATCCGTGACGTGGCTGATCGACCGGTCAGCAGCAGCGGAACGGGGTATGTGCGTTTAACAATCTGGGCCAAACTAAAACTTTCAATATTGAGGGGGGATACGAGCGGACCCACCACATTTTGAAATTACTGATTTTGTCTCCACTACTTTTTAAAGCAATTGTTAAAAATGTTCTGAAATATAGCTTGCACCAAGAAAGTTATATATTTGTAATTTAACAAATGAAAATGCTTTGAGAAAGGTTCATTTGCACAGTAAGAAAACATGCAATGCAATATACCTTCCCCTCCAAAAGTATTGGAACAGTAAGGCAAATTTCTTGTTTTTTTTGTTCACTGAAGACATTTGGGTTTAAGATCAAAAGATGAGTATGAGACAAGAGTTCAGAATTTCAGCTCTAATTTCCTGGTATTCACATCTAGATGTGTTAAACTACTAAGGACATATCACCCTTTGTTTGAACCCACCCATTTTTCAAGTGAGCAAAACTATTGGAACATGTGACTGACAGATGTTTCTTGTACTACGAAGGGAGTTCAACCTACTCAGAGTTAACTCGGGGTTATCAGGCAAACTCAGGCTTGACAAATTCTGACCGCCTAAACGGTACTACGAAGGTGGATAAGATGTTGGTTAGTTGAGTCCATGTTAACTCGCTATTAACTTAATAGGAGTTTTTTTTATTTCTCCAGAGGAACGCACGTTGGTAGTGTCAGGAAATTATGACTATAATAGACAAATTAACAGCTAAATCTAATGTCGTGGTGGACGACAAAGCAAGGGGGGCTCCAGTAAATTGTAATTAATTTCACAGTGTTCGTATTGTAGATCAAATCTTTATTAGCCTATGTATTTTATGGGCTCATCTTTTATGTGTAATATGAATAAAGTTGTAAAGGTCCAACTGCACATAAGGTCCATTTTAATAGAAAAAAAAAGGAGCCAGCGGGGAGAGAGGGGGAATAATCCCAGACAGAATTTAATTTCCAAGATTAATCTACAAGTAAAAAAATTCTCTGACATTATAGTCAAACATTAATGAGAGAAACTGGCCGGCCAGCTGGCGTAATCGATTACGTAAATACTGCATCCGGTGTGGGACAGTCTAAGGGGGCTTTCACACCTACCTCGTTTGGTCCGGGCTTTCGGACTTTTCAGTTTGGTCCGAACCAAATTTGCAGGTGTGAAACCTCCTCCGGACCAAAGAGACGGAATTTGGTCCGACCAAAAGAGGTAGTCTCGGTCCGGATCAACCTTAACCATGGTTCGGTTCGTTTCTGGTGTGAAAGCATTTTTTGGATGGTTCGGACTTTCAGACTATTTAGCCTGCAGGAAGTTCGGCGGTTGCTGTTTAAACTGGAAACAAATAAATGCACGGAGAAATGCATCTATAATACAGCTGGATTTTCGAGACTAGCACACTGTATATAGCTGTTGTCAAGATCGATGCACGCCAGCACGCACTTGTGCACACACGCCCCCCCGCCACAGTTACACTGTCATTCTGTAGGAAACACTGCAATGTAGTGGCAAATATGAATATGTAAATTTTTTATTCATTCATTCTTGTCAAAGCTCCCCGCTGAACTGTTTAATAAACAAAATCAATGTCAAGTAACCTACAGGGAGACACAGCCAACGTAGATGATGACGGACAGGACGCAGGTCTCTCATGTAAAGTCCTTTAGTGCGGTCGCAGAATTACAGTGTGAAACCAAACCAAAACTAACCGAATGTATCAAAATGTATCAAAACATGAACTTTGGTTTGGACCTTGGTGCGGACTTTCAGGTGTGAAAGCCCCTTAAGTTTTCATCCTTGGTTCGAAACCTATAAAGACTGCATTTCCTGTTAAAGAGGATAAACCAACATGAAGACCAGAGAGCTGTCTATGGGAGAAAAGCAAGCCATTGTCAAGCTGAGAAAGGAAGGAAAATCAATCAGAGCCATTGGACAAACATTGGGCATAGCAAGCACAGCAATCTGTGCTGAATGTCCTGAAAAAGAAAGAAACTACTGGTGTTCTGAGCAACAGACGTCCAACAGGTCGGCCAAGGAAAACAACAGTAGTTGATGACAGAAATATGGTGAGAGCTGTGAAGAAAAATCCCTAAACATCAGTAAGTGACATCAGCAACGACCTCCACAGTGCAGGGGTGAAGGTACCACTGTTCGCAGAAGACTCAGAGAGCAGAAACCACAAGATGCAAACCACTCATCAGCAGTAAGAATCGGAAGGCCAGATTGAAATTTGCAGAGAAGTACAGAGATGAGCCGCAAAAGTTCTGCAACACAATCTTATGGACTGATGAGACCAAGATTAATCTCTAGCAAAGTGATGGAAAGGCCAAAGTGTGGAGAGAGAAAGGAAATGCTTATGATCCAAAGCATACAAGCTCCTCTGTGAATCATGGTGGAGGTGATGTCATGGCTTGGGCGTGCATGTCTGCTTCTGGAACAGGCTCATTAATATTTATTGATGATGTAACTGATGATGGTAGCAGCAGAATGAATTTAGAAGTGGACAGAAACATTTTGTCTGCCAATTTACAGAGAAATGCATTGAAACTAATCGGGAGGACATTTATCATGCAGCAGGACAATGAGCCAAAGCACACTGCCAACAAAACAAAGG